AAAAAAAAAGAACGCAGCTTAAAGTAAATACTACCCGTCGGCAACATTGAAAATAAATTTTCCAACTATGTAGTGCTTATGGCATAAGAGAAATAAGTCCAAAAATAGTTCTATCTTGAATTCAATGATGCAGAAACCGACGAAATTTCGATGAATCAATACAAAACGGAAGTTCATGACTGGAAAGTATATAAAAAGAAATCAGAACCATATTTCTACTTCATATTCAACGATCAAACTAACAAACAGTCACAATCGAAATGTCGATTCTCGTATATTTCTTCTGTGTCGTCATTCTCCAAGTGAGCACAAGCAATCGTGTTCTTGCTGATGATGATGCCATTGAGCCGAAGCGTTTCGGATTCTTTGGTGGTTTCCATCCTTCTCCTCATATAATGATACGGTCTCTACCACCACCGCCAACACCCGTTCGTCGTCTAACACCAACTCCATCACGATATTTGACTACAAAGAAGCCCAAACCCACTGATAAACCAGATGAGCCTGAAGAGCCCGACTTTCCTGATCAGCCAGATCATCTTGAAGGGCCCGACCTTCCTGATCTGCCTGATATCGGAAGCGGTGATAACAATGGTCTGACTACCACGACAACAACTACTACGGTAGCGTCAAATATTGGTCGTCGGCGTCGTCAATCGATGCTTATTCAATAGCAAGCAATGCTTGTTAAACGTGAAGAAAAGAGAAAAACGCTTTTCAGTACTCGGGTGGGTGTGGGTGCAGACGAGTCTAGATGTAGGTGTAGGCTTCCTCACCATACCCACACCCACACCTACACCCATACCCCACACCTACACCCACATCCACACAACCATACCCCACACCTACACCCACATCCACACACCCATACCCCACACCTACATCCACACACCCACACCCCACACCCCACACCCCACACCTACACCCACCTGTACTCACACCCACAGCTATAGATACTCATTTGAAGAAATAGAATCACTAACTAAGAGATCAATGCAGGTTTCAGTTGGTTAGATCGCTGTGTTCGTGTCCTTAATGACGTTGCTGTCGATGACTAAAATCCAGGATACTTTGTTCAATCGCATTGATAAATAGTCTCAGATTTTAGTGTCACTCTCTTCTTTAGACAGACTAGATGATTAATCGTCAGCATCCTGTAACAAAGCTTTTCTTCTGTCTCAGTTATCACTAATCGTCATAGCCGTTTAATATAAATGGCTGAAAAAGGAAGCATTGAAGACATTTATGAAAGTATATATTTTTCTATCTTTTAGACATAAGTATTCATTTAATCGAAATAAAAAAATGTCCGTTGAATCCAGACCAAATGTTTCTTACACCTCTGTACCCACAAAGTAAGTCAAGCATGAATTAATGAGGAAATAAATAACAGATATTTAAATGTGCGTACTGGGAAAATATTTTTTTCGAACAGTTGTATCCAATGTAGTTATTCTTTTTATAATCATTCTAGTGCATCGTCGCGACCAAAGAACTGTTGCACATTTCTGTTGGTTGGTACTATGATTCTTTTATTATTATGTGGTGCAATCGGATTTTTCATTTTATACGACAAACGACGAAACGAAACAATCCATACACAAGCAATAACAATAGGTATGCATTAACAAATTCCTTCAACTCAACGAAATAAACCAATAATAATCTCTACTTGAATAATAAATTTAGCCGATGACACTAAAGATCTGTGTTTAACTCCAGAATGTATTCAAGCAGGTCAGTATAGATATTTAGTTAGATTTTTGAAATCTTTTTATTATCCTTTTAGCAAACTCCCTTCTCGAAAGTATTAATGAAACAGTGGATCCTTGCGAAAACTTTTATGAATTCAGTTGTGGAAAATGGATTAAAAATGCAAAAATACCAGCTCAGAGTAAGTCCTCACTAACGAAATGAAATGTAAAATTCAGCTCTTTTCAGATTCCAAACAAAATTCCCAATCACAAATGAAGACAAATTTACAGAACGCACTTGTCGGTATGATCGATTATCTTTGGTGTTTAATATATTCTCTCGTTTATTTTTCAAAGATCTGATATCATCATCACCAACAAATGGAAAAACAGAATCAAAAGCAATCATTAATGCTCGCCATTGGTACAATTCATGTATCAACGAAAGTGCTATCGAAGAGGAAGGTGCCAATGTTATACTTTCATTCATCAATAAAGAACTTGGTGGATGGCCTGTCTTGTTAGGTGATACATGGAATGAATCAACATTTGACTTTTATCGTCTAATACTCAAATTAAGTCAGCATAATCATTTCATACCATACACAATAGAGACAACTATCGACCGTAGGAATTCATCGTTGCGAAGCATTAAAGTTAGACTCAGCAGTTGAAATTGTTGATGATGATTCTTTATCTTGCAGATAGAGCCAACAACTGGTTTAGCAGTCAATCTAATATCCACGATCAGAGATCTGGAAAAAATTGAGACTTACTTAAAAATCTTCCAGAAGTTTGCTGCAGCATTGACCAACGATTTATCAACAATCAGGACTGATGCTATTGACGTATTCACGCTTGAACTTCGAATTCTACTAGTAAATCACTTTTCTCAAGTATATTTTTACTATGCTTTTGTAAATAGTCTTATCTTAGAAGTCATACGCTAAACATTGCTTTTCGCACAACAATCGGCAATCTCTCTCGTGCAAACATCCTAAGTGTGAGTACTGGTTCTCACATTAAATACTGTATTCTTTTCACATTCCTATTTAGCCTGACTTCATTGATTATGTTCGTCGTCTTTATCTATCCGCAAATGTATATCTGATGAATACAGATATTGTAACTATGATTTCGCCTGAAATTATTCTTGATATTACATCAATACTTGAGGAACAACCACCTCGTACTGTACAGAATTTTTTAATATGGCGCTTTATGATTGATCAAGCTTGGAAAATGCCAAAGCAATTCAGAGATTTGGAACAACAATATAGACGTATATTTGACGCCATAAGTGAGGAGAGGCCGCGCTCAGTTAGATGTGCTGAATACCTT